AACTAGTCAATATCCTGTCTAGTGTTGGCTCCTACTTACTGATATCTGCTCTGACATTCTTTTTCTGCCTTTCCTTACATCACTTACAGTCACTTGCAGACCTCTCTCCTCTCCTTGGCGCACCATGCCTCTACCCACTGCTCCCTCCACCAGCTTGGAAAGCAATGGCCGACAGAGCCTGTTGAAGAATCATGGAGGCAGGCATTCCCAAAGAAGTCATGGCAAGATCCTTCATTAAAAGTCAGCCTTTTGGGACCAGAGAAAATCCCAGACTTATTTTCACAAAATACCCAGGTGTCTTCTTCCATGGAGCAACAGAGATTTATGGCACTCCTAGGGCTGGGATCAGAAGGAATGGGGCTCAGACGTAGAGAGCAAAAAGGTTAATCAGGTCACAAGAACTTCTAGGTGACAATGTCCTGCTCCCAGGTTCATTGATCAGCCAGTGAGAGTATTTTTTTTTTCTTAATGACGCAACATTTTTAAATTAATGCCTTTGGTAGAACTTAGGTGGGTGGGGATTACAAAAACCAGTTTGAACTGGTCTGCAGCCTTTGTAAATGCTCCAGCTCCCCTACTAATGATGATTGAATTAATCTCTTAACAAACACGTTTGTTTTTCTAATTCGCCTCCACACTCATAATTACTATAACTTCAAACCCAACACCCAAATATTACAGCACAGATGACACTTGGCATCCCCTGCTCTTCTGAGATCTCTGAACTATTGAGATCCCTCCTGAGGTAATTTGTGAAGCACAATGACTAGGATCTCCTCACCAGAAGCAGAATCCTGCAAGCCAGGACTAAGCCAAAGAGGATTCACTGTCTCCAAATGAAGCATTTTTTTTACCAGCATGTTCTGAACACACTTCCCTTCATAGTTCACTGTAAAATCAGCTATTTCTACTACTGCTCCATGTGCACTCAGTGCACAGCCAAAGCTAAGTAGTCCATAAATCTTCTGAGCTGGGGGTCCCTACTTCATCTTTGGTGGTAGTAGTCTTATAACTGAGCTACAACCTCATTATTACTTACAAACCACTTTGCAAATGTTCACTTTAACTTTTTTTCTGAGAAACTTTCCTAGATGTGCAAGTACTCAGATTCTTCCTGTAACCGTTAAAAATCCCTTGTCAGGAAAACTTCTTGGCAGTTGTCTGAGGGAGCAATTTCCACATAAGAAAGCAGAGAAAATGAGAACATTTTCAGGAATGCATTGGCTTTGTCAACATTTTCAATCAGAACTGATGAAAATGTTCCACACTAACTTTTATTTTATAAGATGCTATCAAGTGATAAACTATTCTACTGTTTGCCAATGAAATGGAAGAGTATTTCAAAGCTGTTCTCAGGAAAATTGTTGAGAGTTTAAATTTTTGCCACAACTTTGGAAAATCCAACATCTTGAAATTTCTCTTGGAGGAGAAATGTCATATATTGGATGTGAGAGTAATACAAATATGGGACTATAGACATTACCTAAAGGCCATTGTAGAAAAAAATAATGGGAAATAAGCAAATACACATACAAATGTAAATTCACTACTACACTACAAAGAAGTGATAAAAAGACCCTTGTAAACTACCCAAAAAAGGCAGTTCTTTTTTTATAATGCATACTCCTAAGCTGCTGAGTCATATAAGTCGGCTTTTATTTTTAGTTATTTCCTACTGAACCACTGAGCTGATAGAAGTGTTGCCATTAATTGAGGAAATAAAAATGCTCTTGACTGCCAGTCCCATACTGTTATCTTAGACACCCTTGGGCATAGCAAAAGGAAATAAACACTTAGGCTTTGGCTCTGAGTTGAGCCCACAGGTACTCAGTATATGTACGGATAACACCATCTGTAAGCCATATAAAATGGCCACACTTAGCTCAGACTAAATGTTCATCTAGTTCATTATTCAGCAATGCTCATAGCCTACACAATGTGGGCATACCATGGCACAGGCGCACACTGGTGTTTCCTTTCTCTCTCTTATTTTCTTCATATCTCCCACTGCTTGGTTTAATTCATCAGCGCTGAGCATGCAGATGACATATTCAGAGGCCTATCCAGCATCACTGCAAAACCTCCATCCTGAGTGACAATGCCTAACCTCATACAAAACACAAAGGCTTCTTTCCTCATACTCTTTGCTTTGTATTTATTGGCAGAGATTTTCCTCTGCCTTTCTATCAGCAGTCACCAAGTATGGTGAGATCCTTACCCGTGAACAAGGTGGGACCACCAGCAAAATGTGTCACCTCACAATTCATTAAAGTCCCATATGATCTCTGACTTCTGTGAAGAGCACATACTTGAACTTATTGCTTGTAAACAGTCTTCCCTCCCCACTAGCTTAGGAATTTTTTTGAGATCCTCCATCAAGGAATCATATCTTTTTTCTGAACTATGTGACATACATAAATCAAACCATTGTAATGCACACCAACTCTTTCAAAGAATCCTATTTGTGTTAGTTCTTCAATATTTTGTCACACTTATCTATACAATTACAAATTCTACAGTTTCCAATACACCAAATCTGGACTAACTGTTCTGAAATTCACTGCATGCTCAATCGCACCCTTTTTAAAAAACTTCTGTCAAATTTGTCACTTCTTATTAATCTGGTACAGAGAACAGGCTAACTGATGCATCACAGTGGAAAGCTTAACATTTTCCTTTTTGAGACACTAAAGTGCTCCTGCACGCATACTAAACAGTCCTGGCAATTTGTTGTTACTTGCTCTTTGATTTTTTTTCTAAAAATTCCTCTGTTTTTACTTCAGCTTGAAATAGCTTCTCAGGCACAATCACTGCAAAGGAAGTACAAGCTTCAAGATCTGGCTATGTCATAAAATTGTTTGTGACGTAGCAAGATCTGCAGTGCCTCTAGGTCAATACAAATTACAAAAATCTGTAGAAAAGTACCCTCTGTCAAGGCTTGCTATGGATCCAGTGATGTAGTCAAAGACAAATGAAAACAAATTGAGTACATCTAGTTTTCAGTTTGGGAAATACTAAATTTATTCTCCCTTATTGCCCAATTTGAATGCCACACAGATGAGTTTCTCTTCACTGTGATTTTAATTTGGAACTGGATTCCTCTACAAAAAGCTGATAGCTTCTAAGCACTTTTCTTGTTTTCATGTCGCAAGCTATTAAAAAAGTATGATCTAGGTAGCCTGTATTTTATTTATGGAATAACAGGAACCAGAGCTCAAAACACATGTGAAGACTGGTAACATAGCTATCACATAGAGTCAAGAGAGAGCTTCTTAGAAGAGAGATGAGACACACACAAAGTTACACACTTGATAGAGTAGAAGCAGCAAGCTGTCTATAGCCTTTGAAATAAACATCAAAGAAATGCCCGACCTACCCAAAAAGTTCTCCTCCCAACAGAGATAACCTGCCATGTGCTAATGAGAGATTTACTGCTCAGGCCAAAGGTAGAGGGCTTTCTGAAGCTCATTGCTGACATTACCATGGTGATCTAATGTATATGAGCAGTATATTAATAACTGTTTTTTGACACCAGTCAAAAAAGTTTGCTTGAACCGTACCTAAGTCTTCACTCTGAATTACAGAAATAAAATAGCAAAATTAGAAACTTTTTAATGTCATGTTTATTCATTGTTGTTGTTCTACTGTAGTACATTTGTCTGCATATTTCAAGACTGTACAAAGACTGGTGTTAATGCTTAATACCTATTAACAGACTAACCCATTTTAGTCAATAATTTACCCCTCCTGCAACCAGAGATATGATATATACTATGAACATAAGCAAAGAAGTAAAATAATGATAGATGTTGTGAAAAACAGAAGAAAAAATAGATAGGAAAGTAAGCAAGAAAAAATAAATAAGCATGTGCATTATGAATATGACTTTTAGTATTGTGTATCTTCATAGTGAAAACAGAACTTTATAATAATGTGGCTATGCTAACCATGAAGCAGATGAGAAGTAGAGTACCAATGTATTACTGGACAGTCTGGGAACAGAAGGGGTTATGTCAAGAGACACAGTAAGTGTCCCTGATGGAGTATAGGTGTTACTAGTAGGGTGCTTAATCCTACAAACAATACTGGAATTGTGCTTACTGCCATGGGTAATCTCCCAGGGTTAGAAGGTAGTGGTACAGGCACTGGCACCAGGGAGAGATGGCTTGTGTTTCCTGCTGCCTGGGGACCTCTGGAAGCTGGTTTAGGTGCAGGCATAGGCTACAAGTAGTCTTCTGGCTGCTCTGAGCTGTGTATCTGATTGACAAAGGTCAGCTCCAGGGCACTGAACTGCAGAGATCTGATCTAACTCTTCTTTTCTTAGATGCAATTCTTAGACCCTACAACCTTTTCCCTGGAATGAGTCTGGACTGTAAACTCTCACAGAAATAGTGGGCAGGCCAGTATATAACTGCAGGGGAAAAAACCACCTTGTTTGTGACCCCTTTGCAGCAGCCTAGCTGGGACGACAGCTCAAAGACAAGGATGTAATAGACTCACCGGACAACAATGGTACTATGCAAGGTAGTAAGCATTATGCATATTAAGATCTATGCAAGATATGAACTTCATGTTGGTAGGAAAATGGACACAAGTAGTAAAGTGCCGTAACTCGTACCCATTTGTCCATCAACGCCAAAAAAAAAAGGTGAGAAGGCAGTTATGAGGGAAGAAGCAGGCTTACACAACTCTCTCCACCCACATGCTCCTCATCGTCCCTGCTAGAACATGTATCTGTGCTGTCAGTATCACATAGGCCTATTTTGTTGGAGATCTAATGATAGTTCTGACAGAATGCAATCTTCTTTAAAAAAAAAAAAAAAAAGGCCCAAACAAACATGCAGCTATGACAAGTTAAATTGATGAAGAGTCTCATCTACAAACAAAAGTGAGTAACACCAGTTAAGAGGTGGAGAGTCCTTTGTAGCCATGCCATACTCATCAGGTCAAACACTTGATTAAACAGTGGTGATCACCACATACCTAACATGTACAACAACTTAATCTGTTCTCAGAGGGTTCACAATTTTTCCCATGAAGAGTATATTCCTGTCCATAGTTATGACCATTAAGAAGGGCCTGTTGAATGAAATGGTAGCTGGAACGGACATAGGCACTATTTCCATGCCTGTGGCAGCTGCTGCTTCGGTGCCAGTCTCATCCACCTTTACCACAGCCTTATGAATAGCCTGTGAAGAAACAGACATGTTACAAGTCAAGGGGATACAAAACCAGTCACCTAAACAAGAACTTGAGCTAGAAGTGCCTGAAGAAGTTATTGGTAAGGAACAAGCATCAGATGGACAGGTGTGAGTCCACTGCACAAAGACAGCAAAGTTGGAAAAAAAATCAGCAAGCTACATGGAGCATAGCTTTCCTAGCCCCAGAGAGACAAAGTTCATCCCCAGTGGAGGGACGTGTCCCTGATAGTGAAAACATTTGCTTTGTTTCTTTGCTTATTCCCTGCTCCCACTCACTCAGATCTGTGGAGCTAGATTAAAGGTTAAGAGAGCAAGATCATATTTAACTGTCTACTAAAAGTTCATACGGTTGATGAGTTAACATGCAGATTAGCATGATGAATAGCATACTAAAATTATGTATCCCATGCTCCTTGATATCTTGGAAATAATGAGAGCAAAGGAGAAGGACCAGAAATGGAGAGCTAGAGCAGTGAAACATGTAAGTTTTACCTTGCAAAATCAAGACATTCATAGACCCTAATTCACTCACTTCCACCTGAGGTCATGAGGGCAGGTGTTTTGTTCATGCTAGACAATGAAATTCGCACCGATTGCCATCTTTAAACTTTAGGTTTCTTGAAGTATGACTTATCTGTAGTTTTTGCCTGGGCCTGGCACTAATGAGAGTCATTGTTCATAGGCTTGAAGCCAAATGTTTTTAATAACTGCATTTTCCTTTCCCCCGAACAGTTTAAAAGCAAGCAGTGTTTTTCCTCTCTCCTCCACTCCATAAAACACAAGCAATGGTACATCCTACAGCTCCATACTTGCCCACAGGCAGGCTAAAGAAGGTAGACATAAACAGAAGCTGCAATCTAATGACTGTAACAACACACCGCAGGAAGGTACCAAGGTGTGGATAGATGATGATTTGGTCATGTCTATTTTATAAGGTTGCCCCCCAGAGACCAGAAAGGCCTCCTAGATTATAAAATTGCAGACTTGTAACCTGCTCTGAGTCAATTTCACTGACAGTGCAAGTAACATGGGTGAAATTGTGGCTTCCCCCTCCCTGGAAGTGTTCGAGGCCAGTTTGGATGGAGCTCTGAGCAACCTGGTCTAGTGGAATATGTCCCTGCTCATAGCAGGGGGATGGGAACTAGATGATCTTTAAGGTCCCTTCCAACCCTTACCATTCTATGATTCTATGAAATACTCTGTATGCCAAAAGCTGCTTTTTCATGTGAAGCAAAGCCTCTTTACGTGAGTTTTGCATCATGAGCAGTTGTGAAGAAAGTGATGCAAGTATCAGTAACCATGGGCTCATAAAACAAAAAACAGTATGACTTACCTGGGAAATTCTGTGCTGGGGCTGCCCAGTGATCCCAGACAGGTCAGCCTTATCAGTGAATATATCCATGATGCCCATTTTATATAAAATATTTTTTAGGTTATATGTTCCATAAAGAGTGAATTTCGGAAGATACAAATTTGCTGAACTGCCAGAAAAGAAGTACAAGAATATGGTGAGACTTTTGATCAGAGATCACAGTATAACACAGGTTCCCAAGAGACAGACTCATTTTGCTTTCTCCTCAAAGACATTTTGCTTGCAGGCTCTCTCTAGCTTACACGGGAGACGTATAGTGACATTAATTTGGGGAAAAGAAAAGAACAGATTTAACAATGTTGGAAGGCTGAATGAGAGAATAGGATAGTAGTTTGCTGGCTCGCAGTCTACATTAAGCCAACACATGAAAAATAAGCTTGACCAGTGATCATTCAGCACAACAGTGCAGCTGTACCTCCCTAAGGAGCTTCATCTGACATTGTTGGAAGTTAGTGATATTTTGTGCCTTCTGCTGGAAGCACCTCCATCATGACCCATTACTGAGGATTCACCTTGCAATAAAGTGATTCTTTCAGGAGTCTTAGGCTGGGCACAAAAAATCCAACACATCCAAGTTCATCGGTTACTTTTGAAAAAAAAAATCCAAACATGTTCGCTTTGTGTGCTTATCATATAAATCGGGACAGAGAAATCAAAAAGATATACCAAAGGAGCAGGACAATGTATAGTGGTGATTGTATGGATGACAAAGTAAAAAACAGAAACACACCGACAGAATATAATTAGTCAATAGATAATTCTTGTTTGTTGTCAAGTTTGATATCTGATTTATTCTTTTTTTTTTTTCTTGGAAAGTGACCAGTTTGCTGCTTTCCATAAATTAGTCAAAGGACCATATTTCTGACCCATTTCTTCCTTGCTGTTTCAGTAAGGATTTAACCATTCTTTTTCAAAGGTTAAAAACAGCAATTACCACTAAAAGCAGCATAATTAGACAGAGGTTAGTGATAACACTGCAGTAGGTACTGTTTTCTGGGGAGAAAGCAGGAAAATCGTCCAGGGTTCCAGGTCAGGGAGATGTGGAAAGAGCAAATCATCCAGTGGACTAGTGGGAAGGAAAGGGCCTGTACCTCCAGCACAGCACAGCATCTAATGCCAAGTCTGGCTGCTACCCAAAAATGAGAATGGTAGTGGATTGATAACAGGTTGCTGATCTCTTACTTCTGCCTAAGTTCTGACTGTGCTGATTGCTGTCTCAAGTGAGGATGCAACTACCATTGAATCATCCGTCTTGCTGTTACGTTAAGACAGCCATTCACAAGCCCCCACTTGCTTTCAACACGCAGTAAAGGGAAAGTTGTAGGCACACAGCCACAACGCGACCAGGCAGGATGCACTGGGATATGCTTTCCAGAAGAGAAAGGGATGTTTTCTCCATAGTTCAGCCATTAAACATATCTCAGCTACCTGTACTGGCAATACTTGGGCACTACCCTCTGTGAAGCAGCCAACAGTAATGAAAAGTGTTCCTTCTAATGCTTCTACAACTTGTGTCCATGTCAGTTTGCAGGGAGAGAAACAAGGACAAGTGTGGCTTGCCCACAGTCCTTAAATTATTCCATATCCTACGTCAAACCCATTTATTAAGATGTCCCAGAGACTCCAGATCATAGCAAAGACAATGCGTTGCTTTGAAAACTAGAGGGAAAAGGAGGAATTTGTGTCACTAGTTTGTAGGAGAGAACTGTCACGATTAAAAATGGGGAGCTGCGTGAAACAAGATTGTCTTTGACAGTGATGTCTTTTTATAATATAGGATTTACATCTCCCATTCATGGCTTTTAGGTAGATTTCGGGGGGGGGGGGGGGGGGGGAGAGGGGATGGAGAGAGGAAATATAGATCCCCCCAATTATGTTTAGTGTCTTTCTTGCTGATTTTAGAGGCAATTGTGTTTGTCTGACAACACTGAATCATAAGTATCTTGATTTACCATCTCATTTGTCCTCTAGTGATTTTAGTCACAAACCACGTAGCTGCTCCCAGAAGTTTCAAAACTGTGAAGGTGCACATAGAATTACATACTTTTTTCTGTCTTTTTATTTTAAACGAAAAAAGATTTAGATTCTTTTGATAAGATTTAACAGTGAATCAGAGTTAAGAGCATGACACTGGTTTTGGTTTTCTGTGTTAGGACATCATTTATGTCTTGAGAAGTGATCATCTAAAATATGATTTTTAAATGTGTATGTGTGAAGGTCTCTAACATGACTAAATGGAAGGAGTCTAAAATTGGTTTTCGAAAGCATATAACCTTTCTGCCTTGTAGGCTCAAATTTACCTTGAAGCAAGCGTAGCTTGTTCCGTTTTTGCCTTCCTAAATCTTCAGAGAGCCTGAATATAGTGGCTCTGCAATGTCCCAGCTGCTCTATACTCTTATCATTGAGCTTTGTCCTCATAATTGCCAAACGAAAGTTGTTATTTCGGCATTAAATGTGCAACTAGTGGTAACTGTAGCAGGCAGAAAGGAAGAAAGAGACAAAAGCAAAGGCTGAAGCAAGGTGGTGGGAATTTACTTGTAAATAGGGGAAGGCAGAAGACCTCCCCCAAAAAAGTGAGAAGAGGACTTAAGGCAGAAAACTGGGGGCTATGGAGAGCTGAAGATGGGAAACAAAATGTGGAAATGGCAAAAATCCTAAAGCTGTGAAGTTTTTCACTTCTTGCAGTACTGAACGTGAAATCACAGGAACACCAGAGTGCCAGATCTCAGTTTTGGTCAGTGGGAATTCTGCAGATTAAAACAGAACGAAAGATAGCATCCTGATTCTGTGTCGTAGCCCAGCAGATTGAAATTGAAGTGGCTCCTTGCCTACCATCTGAAAAAAGAACTGCAGAATTTTACCTTTTTGAGACTAATGTCCTCCATCTTGCCATACGTTCACAAGATAATCTTTTCTCCAGCTTCCTCATTCTTCCTTTATCAGGCAGAATAAAAAATGCCGAAGCACCTCCTTTGTAATCCATTTGCACCACAGTAGAAGACAGTTGTTCGTCATAGCCGTGCTTGAACAGGCCCATTCCAAACATCATTGGGACTTCAACAGCCTTGTTCCCATCCACAAAGAATTTGTTCTTTTTAGTGTATTTTGGATCAAAAGGTTTTTCCCATTCAGCTTGAAATATAAGAGACAGAGTTACAGGATATTTTGAGGACATGAGATCATAGGACTTATCACCATAGGACACATTCATGGAAGACAGAAACAGGTATAGCTGGATCAGCTTCAAAGACAAACCAGTCTGGAACGAGCACTCAATCTTACTGAATACTCAGAATAATTCAATAGCAACACACAGCAGGTAGAGTGTAAGAAACTCCCTCTGATCCTACAGCAGGCTGCAATATCCTTCATTTAGATGACAGACCAAGTGTTCTAGTGTGCACTTTTCCCCCATGACAACAGTTTTAAGGAGCTTATAAAGCCCTCATATGATGCAGCCTTTAAATGAGAGCTCAGAAGAAAAATTCTCTCTCCTCATTCCCATACCAAAAGAGACTTGTGAAGGGTGACATGAGGGATGAATTCTCCAGAGAAATGAAGGGATTCGGGTTACTTGCAGAGAGAAGGGTTTTACATGCCACTTTAGATGATGGTGAATAAGTAATGAAAAATTTAATTCCATAAGACTGCTGAGTTAAAAAAGCGAAACAAAACAATAGAAACCTTTTGTACTGTCATGCTCACAGTATTTAATTTCCAAAGGCTCCTCTCTTAGCCATAGTGAAACAAACTGTCTACACTGAAACTCTGAAATATTCTTATCCTCAGCAGAGAGGAATTTTTAAGCCAAATTCTAGCTATCCACCTCACCAATTTCAGAGGCTGAGCAGACTAAAAAAAAAAAAAGTTGGGAAAGCTGGGGGGGGGGTTATTTTGGATGGGGCTTTTCTGCGGGATTTTTTTTGGTTTGGTTGTTTTTTAAGGAAAGAGGTGTTGCTCTGTAGTAAATTTTGCCTTCTAGAACAAACTTCATTTTTATCACATTTAGTGGGCAAAAATAGAGGCACAATGCCAAGTAAAATAAGTGTCATCAAGAAAACTACAAAACAAGGTGCAACCCCTTCTGACTTCTGATTTCTATGTGAACGTTTGTGGCAAGCTGCCTAGTAATCATTGAAATAATGATCATCTGTTGTTTCCACTATCTATGAAATAGACATAAAAAGCATTTCTTTAGTATATGGAAAGTCTGAAACCATAAACAGACAACAGCCAATACTCTGAAGATGGCAAAAGTTGCTACTTTTATACTTCTTCATTAACAGTGACTTCTATCATCAGCTATATAACAGGCAGGTCTTCTGCTTTGATATGCTTAAGGAAAAAAAAAGGCAGAATGAAATACAGAAACATGAATGGTACAAGTCCTGAAACACTCAAAACCCCTTTATCTAGTGCTGAACTCTGGGAAAACACCCACTGATTTCAGAAAGAGCTTTGCTTGATTGAAAACTGAGTAGGACATTAGGATTTACCACACAGATTAGACAGAGATGATATTCACTAATCCTTTCCTCCTGTTTCAGAGGAACTCGTATTCCAGTGCTCTCTTCTCTCTTAGAAGGCTACCATTTAGGGATGACACCTTTCTCAAATGCTTCTCAGTGTTCAAGTGGAAAAATGAACCTTGAAGTATGATACATTGTGGTGACCAGCTCGGCTAGGGCATGAAAAGGGACTGGTGTACTGTAGTGGAATAGCATGCCCACTGGCTGAGAGCCAGGAAAATATTGCCAGAATTTTGTCCTTAGTGAAGGACTTCTACACTATGCTACAGCACAAAGAAGGGGAAGTGAGTCACCAGCACTGTGCAAGGAAGGTTGTAATCCGTAGAGTGGACAAGAGCCTAGACTGGTTATAGAGGTACCTGAGCATTAGACATCCTCTTCAGATTAATCCCAGCCTCTAGATCACTTAACATTGACCTACTCTCAATTTCAAGACAAAACTCCTTATTATTGCTGTTAATGCTATCCTTGAATCTATTTTCTTTAAAATTGAAGAGCTAAAACTGAATCTCCACCATCTCCAGGAGCTAGGAAACAATTTCAATAATAAGAATGAACATCTAATTTTAAATAAAACTTATTTTTAAAACATGTAAAAGTTATCTGTAATAGAAGGATTCTCAGGCTTTTACCCCCACTATGCTATTGAATTTACTGCTTCTTCTTCAAACACCTTTCAGTAAAAGAAAAATCAACAGTTTTTTTGACTGTTTTGAAAGATATGCCTGATGCTAATAAAAGCTTATCTTGAGAATATTGTTGGAGACAAACAAGTATGTGTTCAAGAGAATTAAGAAATATCAGTCATCTATATTCCAAACAGCTCTATTTAGCTGTAGTCAAATCTTCAGAGACTAATACAAGGAGCAGAGACAGAGATGAAAGGCAAAACCAAACAAAAACATGGTTTAGAATTACGTTCGGAGGAAGCCTTATATTGGGAGGAGAGTGGAAGCATCCAGGTTAACAGTTTTAAACAAATAGCATTTCTTTTAAAGGAATAGCATTTCTAACACATCTCAGTTTCAATTAAAAAGCTTAATGATATTTTTATCAGATAAGTTACAGAATATTTTTCTGAGTACAATTATTTTTTTTCAGAAAATGATAAAATGAATAAGAGAAAGATTTGAAAGAAGATGCAATATCTGTTACTAGACCACTGATTGAGCCTTACAGCCTTGCTCCTCTTCTTCTCATTAGATCAGCGGTCTGAAAAGCTCTGGGAAGATCTGTAGACTGTATCTAAGCAGACTGCATATGTTAATTAAGAAAAACAAGCTTATTGTCATTAGGCTTGTATTTGATATTGGTGGGTCCATCTCTTCACTGGAAAATATTAGAATCTGCAAATCAAAAAAAAAAGTTTGAAAACCTATGCCTCTAGTCACATCGGGACTACAGCCATACTATCAGTAAAGACAGTGCTAGTGAAAAAAAAGGAGAACATGAGTGTGAAACTAAAGCTACTGTTGCATGTTTATCTTTGGATACATGAACATACACAGCAACAGTAAAACAACTGAGTAAATGTATTTTCTTTTAGGTAAGACGTGAAGTTTTACTTTAACAGTGTTCTCTGACTTTAACTCTGAACTTGCTAAACAATAAAACAGCTGAAATGGACTTCAAATTAATTCCTAGTCAACAGAACGTTTAAGAAATTGCTTAAATCCCACTAGATTGTATAGGACTAGATGCTTTACCAAATAGAGATGCCTTCCTCAAAGTATATTTCACTTAATCTTTAGCAGGAAAGAAACATATATGTTAAAAGACATAGGATAATTTGCCATAAATTCTGCTAGGAAATTTCATCCGTGTCAAGCGGAAAATAATTTCCTTTGTTTATAATGAAGTGTAAGTTAGGACCAAAAGGAAAAGAAGATATGAGTTCATCTGCAAAATCATATTGCAAAAAACCAGTGATAAGTCCAAGACTGACCTGAGAAAATAATGTTTGAAGTAGGAGAATATGATATGTATATCTTACCGTTAAAATAAATATAGCTAATAAGGAGAATTTCAGTAAGTGGATCAAGGTTATTTATGAGGTCCTTGATTTTCCCATTGGTTCTTCCTGCTACATATTCATTGATCTTTATCTGGGCTTGATCAGCCCTCTTGAAGTTCATAGGATAAGCTTCTCCTTCAAAGAAGTTTCTGAGATTATTTAAAAATTTCTCTTGTGGCTTCAGTCGGTCAAGCACAAACAGGACGTTTCCCATATTCAGCTGCAACCCCTCATTCTTTCTGTTTACCATTTGCATGAGTTGGCGATAACCTTCAAGTATTTCATTTTCAGAAATTTCATGTGGGTTAAAGCTAAGGACCCTAAGAATCTGTGTCAGAGTATCTGATCTGGCACCCAGAGTCAGCATTGCAAAGGCAGTAGAGATGCTCAAAGGAGAGAAGAAAACATTCCCACTGTTGTCATGAGAAGAAATCTCTTTGTAGAAACAACACGCAAACTGACAAACACTGTTCCCTACAATCTGCCGTGGCATGTTTTGGTTTTCTTGGCCTCTTTGATTTTGGTTTCTTACACCTTGGTGATTAGGCTCGTAGCAGTAACTGTCAGAATGAAGCCCAGCCATTAAAAGACACAGGAAAAACAACATCTTCATGTTTCTATAACTCTGTAAAAGAAGAAAAGAAAAACAACATTTGGCTTGCAAATCTTTTTACCTTGTGCTTAGCAATAAGTCAGTCCCTTAACTGTACTGAGATGGCTTGGTACCAGTGATTCCAAGCCATTTGAATTCAGGGATACCAGCTTTCTATTTCAAGGAAGCAGACTCTGGAAAATTACTCAACCTACTGAAGAAGTTATGAAAGAAAAAAAATTGAAGTAAAAGAAGGGTGAAGTAATACCAAAGACACCTTCATTAAGGTTAGACTACAATTCCTTTGAAACTGTTTTGTTTCCAGTGTTCTATTTTTAATGTGGCTTTCAGTGATAACAAGCTCTTAAATTGAAAGTACAGGTCTGCAGAGCAGAAAGTAAGGGAGCCAGTCAAGGCTAGTCAGTTAAATTTAGCAAGATGAAAAATCAGAGCAGAAAGGCACAATATTCCTCCATTGTGCGAATTACAATATTATACGTTTTCAAATGGGCTTTGTGTAAATGTATAGGCAGGCACCAGAGAGAAAGTCAATGCACTTGTTAATGAGGAAGCGATGAACATTTACAGCGTTTCCATAAAGCTTGAACAATTGAGCACCATAGAAAAAAAATTTTCCACATAACTAACAAAAGAGAGGGTTGAGCAATTAGGAAGTTATCAAGACCCTGGAAACACAGAGTTGCTTATTAAGAAAGGGAAAATGAGTGTGTATATAGACCAGCAAATGGAAACAAGTGTGCCTGTTGCATGCAAAGGCATGACCAGCTCAGTGACTGAACCAAATAAACTACAAATAAAAAAAAAAAAATAGAGGAAACTCTAGAACAGTCATGCTGTTTATCATCTGTAAGATAGCAAAGGGTGATTTTGGCACAGAAGGTTACAAGAATAAAATGTGAAGTTGAATCACTGATACCGATAGAACAGGAAGGCCTTTTCCAGAGCAGCATGGAAACCATCCACTCCACATCTGTGGCAATACTTTTAACTCTAGAAATTAATACCGTACCACACTTGGTTCAACAACTTTTATCAACAGACCGAAGGAAGTAAAGATGTGGAATATCTGGAAATCTAGAGCATCCTCCTGTCTTATATGATCACAGAATCTTTTATAAAATAAAGTACTCTCTAAAGGAAAATTTAAGGAATTTCAAAGGGGAAAAATGTCTTAGGTTTCAGACTTGCAATGAGAAGTGGTATTCAGACCCTCATGCCCTGTAAAATCGTTGAATCCTTATCAGCTCCCACCATGACCCCGCATTTGTCTTCTCCACTTTCCAGTGTCTTGGTTCCCCAAAATTCAGTGAACTCACAATGCTGATCTCTGCTTTAATAATATATGTTATAAATATTCCTTAATTCACACCCTTTAAATATTGTGCTCATATCAATATTACTATTGCTAGCAAGGGCCTAAGCCCCAGGAGGAACCACTTTCAGACAGTTCCTATCCAAAACACTTTTAAATTTGAACTCCATGATTTGTTTGTGACTTCCTCCACCATCACTTTAATTCTTTTAGCCTTTACCTCTATCCATAGTTTCTTTTTTTTCCAAACTCTCTAGAATCTTTAGAGAGCAATCCTTCAGTCCCCACTTCCATTTCATTCCATGCCCTACATTTATTATCATCCATTTAATTCAGCTAACTCTCTAAAACATTTAGAGATGCAGTTTTTCTAAAGAGAGTTATCCTATACAAATATACCTATTTCACAGAGGACTTATCTTTTTTATTAAAAAAAAACCCAAAACATAATAAAACAATTGAAAAGCTTTAAATTGCAACTTTAATATGAACATGGTAATTTCTCAACTGATTATTCAGAAACCGTTGTCCTGCATATAACGTTTGACAATTTTTCCACGGAAAAAAAGTGCATTACTTACGGTACAGTCAAAAGAATCCTGTTGTATTCACCAGGTCTGCACAGGTCCTTGCTCAGTTGTTTATGCTGCTGAACACAAAGCAGGGTATCCTCTAGTAAAGGTTAAGATCATCTAAGGGCTGTGACTCACACATTATAATTTTAGAGATTAGGTAGTGCAAACAATGTTGAAACTAGTTTTACTGGACACCTAACTTTGCTGAATATATGTTTCACACGTGACTTTTTATTATTCATGACTATCTGATTGCCCTGGTTAGATTCAAACCAATTTTCCTCAAAGTGAACTTACTGTTTCTTTATATCAAACATTCCTACACATCTCAGTTGCCCAAATCCACTATTTTATGAACAAGAGAGTCATCAGAAGTAGTAACTACAGAGAAATATCTTGAACATAATTTCCAGCGACTACAGTATTGCTGCCATTAAGGCAGGAGGACAAGGCTTGATTCACTAGGACAATCTGAATTTTTGTGACCCAGCCTGCTTGTGTCCTGCATATCCATGCCTAGGCTTGATTGTCTCCAGGTGAAGGCAGTGATAATTCTAATAGGTGCAGGGCTTAAAACACTATTTTGCTACATTAGCATATGATGCCATAAATGTGCCTGACTATCTACTCCCACACGGGGAATCCACTGGCAGCAGCAACCATGATAGAGACTCCCAGGCCACCTGTGTGGCCTTGAGCCCGGAGAAGAAGGAATGCGGCTAGGATGCCATTGCACACAGGTGATCCCAGTCACAAGCATGGCCTGAGGACAGGGGGCGAAAGCCTGGGAACATGGGCGTTAAAAAGAGCAAGTCTTTAGACCAGGTTACTATCTTGTGACCTGGGATGTGGGGAGCAGGCCTTGCTGATAGTGTGCCAAGTTCAACTGGGTCAGATCAGACAGCCTGGTACCCTGTGCTCAGCTCTGCTCACTACAGTAAAATCCTGTGACTGCTGGGGCAAGCTGATGGGTGCAGAATGACAGAAACATTGAAGAAGTGAACTCTGAAGACCAGGTAGTCTGACCCATTGCTCAAAGCAAGGTCAGCTACAGCAAGTTGCTCAGGATGGTGCTCAGCTGGGTTTTTACTTCCTCCAATGATGGAGACTCTACAATCTCTCTGGGCAACCTGTTTCAGTGTTTGACAACACTGACACTAAAACAGATTTACTCTGCATTTAAATAGAATTTCTTGTATTTTAGTTTGTGCTCCTTGCCCCTTACCCTGTCACTGGATGCCACTGAGAAGAGGCTATCTCTTTCTTTACTCCTCCCATCAAAAATCAGGTATTTATACACATTGGTAAGATCCCCACAAGCCATTTCTTCTCTGGGTAAACAGTTCCAGCCCTCTCAGCCTCTCCTCATACGTTAGATGCCATAATCCCTCAATCATCTTTGTGGCACTTTACTGGAGTCACTCCAGTATGCCCATGTCCTTCTTTCTTTGGGAAGCCCAGCAACGGATGCAGCACTCCAGATGCGTACACCAGGGATGAGTAGAGAGGAAGGATCATTTGCCTTGACCTGCTAGTGATGCTCTGCTTAATGCAGCTCAAGATGTTGTTGGCTGTGTTTGCTGCAAGTGCTTACTGATAGCGCATGTTCAACCTGGTGTTCACCAGAAGCCCCAGGCCCCCAAGCACAGCATCTCATGTCTCCATTTCTAAAACTAGGATAACATTTTCTCTCATTTTCTCTTCAAAATGCAGGCACTTTCGGGGAGGCACCAAGCCTTACTATAGACAAAATAGATGCAGTGCTGATCTCAGTGTTGTTTCTAAGCACAGTTGAAGTACTAACCACAACAATAAGTCAACAACATTTTCTGGGAGGCAAAGATGCAACCAGTGAAAGTTGATGATTACAACCTATCAAGCAACTCAACAGATTGCAAAAACCCCTCTTAAACAAGTTGTTTATGAACTAAAGCTTGAGAAATAGAAGGCTTTGAGGCAGTATACTGGACTTATGCATAATATAGTCTTCATGTTTAGCACTCATGTGAAAGAGTACTTGAGATACTATTTTCACTGTTTTTTTTGTAAATACGAGCCAAGAATCTCACTTAGAGCTAACTTTTAATAATGGGCTGTAGTTTTCATGGTATATAAAAACTGATTTCTTATGAAGGAAGGAAGGAAGCCCAATTAAATACAGACGCCATGCTAATGACAAGGTGATGGATGAATGACTAAGCTAGATTTGAACACACCTAGACCACACCTCAGGACACTTGCAGAAGAAAGCCTACTGCTGAACATGGAAAAGCCTGCCCTGTGACTGGAAAGAAATCAGCGGAAAATCAATACAGGAACAATTTATATGAATAATGTGAATCTTTGGACACTAGTACTAAAGAAAGTCAAAATTTGTCTTTCCTGTCTTTCCAGTGTCAAGCCATGAGAGGAAGGAAGGTAAAGGAAAATCTAACAGTTTCTGACCCAACTGCATAATTTCTGTATTTGATGAAAAAGCTTCTACAACTATAAACAGCCACTTATATCATAACTACAATCAGAATACTGATTTACAAAGAATTCAACTATGTTTTTCAATTTTGAACATTGGGATATTCCACAGTAACGCTGTATGTGTTGAAGATCTGAGATGGATAGTGAGCAGGAAATTCCCTCAGCTACACTGGGGACTTTTCTAAAAGTTCCCATGGCTCTTAACTCAGCTAGCGCTGAATTGTTCATATGTGCTTAAGCCCCAGTTGGCAACATCTAGTGTAAATACATCTGCTTTGAGCAGAAATGTTGAGAGAGGTTTGATTATGTAAGGTTCCTCTCTTTGCTATGTCAAGTAACCACTGGTGGCGTAAGTAGGGAATTCTACTGCATAAACAAGGCCCCAGAGCCTCTCCTTAGCCTGTGCTAAACCACAGATACCAGGTGTGTAAATATCTTCAAAGAGATGGAAGAATTTCTTAATTTGTTGTCCCATTGAAACCAAACCTCACAACCGTAATTAAAAAGGGAGGCAACAG